ATATATATATATATATATATATATATATATATATATATATATATATACTAAAATAAAATACTACTTGTACTACTATTCCTACTTCACAGTTTTTCACTTATCGTGGGACTTCAGGGTGCAGATCCCCTGCGACAAGCAAGGGACTACTGTATTGCTTTTCTGTGTTACAGTTTGAATAAAATATGTTGCTTTGCTTCCATAGTACTTGATTTGTATGAGCTGTGTTACCTGCAGCAAAAGTTTTAAACTTTTTACATAGCCCATATAGATTTTAGGACCACCTGATAATCATTTACAGTAAATGTGTTTTGATGTCGTTTATCGTGGGGGATCTGTACCCTGAAGCCCCGCGATAAGTGAAAAACTGCCAAGTAAGCAATAGCAGTACAAGTAGTAAGTAGTAGTCTATCTCTCTCTATATATATATATATATAGTGTTTGGAATGCTTCCCACACTCTTGCAAAACAATATTCTAAACAATGTTTGTAAACTCTAAACGCTCTAAAAGAGCACAGCATCCCATGATCTCAGCTCTCTGCCTCTGCTGCTCTCTACAAGTGCTCTCGGCCACGCCCACTTCTCCGCTGCAGAGTGGAGATCATGACACGCTGCCGGAGGAAGCTTCTCCTGCAGCTGTGGTCTGCACAAACGTGCAGCAGGTGCTAAATAATTTAAAATAATTTATTTTAAATAAAAATCCCATGCCGATCGTGCGGCTCATCCTTCAATCAGCCAGTTGTGTCATGTCCAATCTTACTTTGAAAAGCCGCGATAGAGCGAGTCCGCAATAAACGAACGACGAAGTAGCGAGTGACTACTGTATAATGTTAGGTTTATAAAAGTCTGGAATTTAGAAAAACTGTAGGAAATGTGAAAATGGTGCATCTTCCCAACTGTACGAGATACATTCATTTGAACAAATTCACACACTTTCTCCTATAATTCAATAACTAGTCTCCTCGTGCTGCTGTTCAGTGTAATGTTTTTGTGCTACTAGTGCTTAGCATATTTTTAGGTAACGTTTTTCTTAGTTCATATCTTAGATCTTATGACTGTTTTTCTTTTACATTTTAATACTTTTGTTGGATGTAACTGGGACCCTGTTTGCACAATGTGGCGGAACGACAAATCAAGTATCTTGAATCTTGACGCTCTACAGTTAATTTACAGTTAATCTTACCTTCAGTGTTGGTGTTCTGTTCTTCGTTTTTATTTATTTTACGTTACACTTACGCTGACGTGGGGACTGCGTGTTGAGTGGAGAGCGTTCATTGTTCCAAAGAAACAAGATGACAAACATCTACATTTATTTTTATTTCAAACGATCTGTGGTGGAATGGGACAAAACGGACATAAAATGGACAGTTTCATAACAGGCTGCGTGTTTGTTGTTTCCCCTCTGCAGAAAGTGCAAATTGTTATAACTGTTCTGGACTATGACAAGATCGGCAAGAACGATGCCATCGGCAAAGTCTTTGTGGGCCTGAACAGCTCGGGCACGGAGCTGCGCCACTGGTCCGACATGCTGGCCAACCCCCGGAGACCCATCGCCCAGTGGCACGTGCTGAAGCCCGAGGAGGAGGTGGACGCTCAGCTCGCCACCAAGAAATAGGCAGGGCCCCTTTCAGCTCCTGCCTTGTAGTACTCTTTAGCCAGTATACGTGTAAATACCTCAGTGATAAATGGGTCCATCTATGTAACCCCACCCTTTACTACCACCTTTGAGCCTCCTGATTTCACTCGGTAATTGTTCAAACATCTCGCGACATCTTGCTTTTTTTTTCTATCAGGGTCTTTGTGTTCCTTTCTGATTCAGCAGTTGTTGGTTTCCATCTCTGAGCCCTTCACCGCCACAACCAAAAGCCCCCTTCTTTTAAGCAATATGATCTGTATAGATAGCGCATGACTGAAAGAGTTTATTGTACCACAGTTGTATATATAAGTATGCAGACAGAAATGATTTCTAGTTTATGTGTTCGTACGTTGTTACCCGTTTCCTAATCCGTGTATATCTTGATGTTTTTAATAAGATGTTCTATTTTAAATTATGTAAATTCAGATATAGAGGAAAGCCAATATTATATATCCCAGGATTAAAATAATTCTACCTTAATTACCTTATTGCATTCCAGAAAAATGATTCTGTCCAACCTGCCAGCGGGAGTCTGTTCATATCGTAAAGGACGTCTGGCTTTAAGTTCAGCATCGTAGAATAGAAGAGCAGATGAATATATTCACACTGAACTCCAAAAATACAAGGCCATTAACTGCTATGGTTCTGTGAGGAAAATTATGCTGCTGGAAATTATACAAGCACATGATTTCTAACGTTTTGTACTTATTTCTTAATCGGAGGACCTGCAGTTTGAGTTTGGCTTGAAACAATAATTAAGTATTTGTTTTCTTTCCATATTTGGTAGAAAAATGTCTATTAATACTGGTTTTGTTTTCCGAAACAAACTTGAGTCATGATCCTTGAAAACATTAACCCAACACGGAGGGGAAAAAAAGCACCAAGCTGTTAGCCATCGTGCCCTTAAACTTGTCGGACAATATTTTGTTGAAGCAGCCTTGTCGTCGTCGGAAGTGTCGTGTTCAGGTTTCATCTTTGAAAGAGTGATTTAAAACGAGAAAATTAAAAAAAAATTAAAAAGCTGAAGCTCCAGTTTTAAGAGGACTATTTTTTAAGAGGAGGGGAAAAAAAATTAGCGTTTTAACTATTTTTAGTAAAATGCATGATTGTTTATTTTTTAAGATCCTAACGCTGACGGGCGAGATGTTCCCCCACCAGAGGAAGCTCTTCTGATAAAAAATCTCCTCGCCTTCAATCAGAAGAAGTAAGATTACAATTTTGGGTCAATGTAACGTTGACGGAGCTGAGGTGAGTTTAACACTGCCATTTTTAGGGAGGGGGCTTGTTTCGAGGCCCTCCCTTCATGCACACTTCCACTCGTTAGTGGTTGTAGCTTTGGTTTATTGGGAACAATGTCTTTGGCTGCAGCGGTGCCCTGACTCGCAGTCTTTGCTTTGCGTTGCCTTCTTACAGTGACAATAGAGCTAGCCATGTTTTACTGCCAATTTGAACTTTTATGTGGCTGCTGTTTTTGCACTGGATGTCTTTGAACTCACTTCTTTAGGAAACATTTGTTTTTGTGTCAGGACACCTGCAGGAGGAGCCAGAGTTGAAACTCTACGGAACCCAGAAAGTGACAAGAGTTGAAATAAAAATAAAAAGGAAAAATGAGGTTGGAGAAGTCTGTTCTCTCAGTTTAGTGATGCACATGCACAGATTAGCATTAACATCAGTGTCTACATGCAGCAGATGTTGCTCTTTAAGTCATTCCAACTGGAAAAAAAAACATTTGTTTATATAATTTTCAGATTTTTTTTTTTTACTCCGTTTTGCACTTTTTTAGACGATTCTCATGCGCTCATCTTACAATCAGCTCCACATAAACACAAGTGGGAAGTGATTAAAGGTGAAGATTTATCAGCCGTTTGTTTGGAGGTGTTGATAAAAGGGAAATTCGACCTTTTCCCCCACATTTATGCAAGAGTCATAAGCAAATTATGTCAACCAGCTGCTGTTCTGCCTCTGAGCCATCAAGGGAGAGAGTGACAAGGCTGTGATGGTTGATACACAAAAGGCTAACATTGCTGTGTGGTGAGGATGTGATGTAATGACAGAATGACAAACTGTTCTGTGGGATTAGAAATTATATATAGTGCTCCACATCTTTCGCTGCTGCGTTACACTCCACACCTGTTGTTTTATGATTTGGCTTTATTACAAAAAAAAGGTTTACGTCCTTGTGGAGCATGACCAGTTTGAATGGTGATCACAAACAGCCGGAGGAAACTTCAAGATGGTTCATTACGTTCAGAATTGACAAGTAGCCATCTTTTGTTGTGATTTCCCAAAACAGTCAAGTAGGTCACCAAATCTGAGCATGGTCGTCTAATCCGAGCTGACAGCTAAAACTAAATTTACTATTTTCTGAACTGGAGAGACTTGTTCAACTTTTTATTTTACTTCTTGTTTTTGCTGGGTTCCGTACCTTTTCAGCCATCAGCATCGGCTTTGTTGCTGGCACACGATTACATCCAGCGAGCTAACCGTACAAGTTAATGGTCTGCGTAGTCCATTGTGTCCTTTACTATGGGTCCAATCAGGAGTGGGATAATCCATTCAAAACCATCACGTCTCTTATCTTGGAGGAACCTCTTGCATATACTCGATGCTTATACTTCAGGAGGACTTTCTAAATGTTTTCAATGTTAGTGTGTAGTTGATAGCACTATTATGAAAAAGCTACTTGTCATTCCATAGGAGTCTGAGGACTGCTTTGTGTATCACTGTGACTGCCGTGTGTGCTTAGAGATGTAGAGTTATCAGTAGGTAGCGAGTTTGTTCTGTAGTGATGTCGTAGCGTTTAATGCCATCCTCCCCCCCCCACCCCACACGCAACAAGAGAGAGGAAGAGTGCGCGTGCACGCCGTTGCTTGACGTCACGTGTTTTTTATGGGAGCGGGTTGCTTCACACAGCATTTTGTTGAGCACTGTGCAATACTTGTATGTTCATCCCATAGTGTTAGCGTGGGTGGCGTCGCCTGAGAAAAGACAACCCCCCCCAGAGGATTCTCCTTTCCAGTGCAATGGTTAGGACACAGCACACCTTAGACTCATAGGTTGGAGCTTGTTCACCTCTGTTTAGGGTTCCCTTCCTTTTGATTTCCTCCTCTTGCACACAGTTCCAGCATCAGACGTTTCAGGGAGTCTTAGTTCAAAACCAAACAAAGAGAAATAGCCCTTAAACATGTAAATAATCACATAATGCCAGAACTGTATATCAAGAATAAACATAGTGACATAAATATGATAAATCAGCCGCAAATCTATTTCATCCACATGTTAAATCTCATTATGTTTTTGGTTTTGTTGATTTAAAAGCCCTTTTATATTTGAGATGAAAACTCTGAATGTACAGTATGAACTGTGTTGGTGTAGATTTTCTTTAACCGTGAGATTATTAGATGTACTTTGCACTTTTTGTTGTAAAAAAAAACAAACAAACGTACGTATATATAGTAATTATTTTTTTTATTTTTATTTTTTTCATTTGTTCATTTACAACCCTTTTATGGAGTAAAAGCTCCGCCGTCTGATTCCAAAATCATCTTGTAAACTAGGGATGCACGATATTATCGGCATGGTATCGGTCGATATTAAATTAAAGTTAAATATCGGACATCGGCCGGTCCATCAAAATATACTAAAAAAGTGTTGTTTATATATAAACATATATATGGCACTGTTTGAGTGTTGTCATTGTGTTACAGAGAGTATCATGAATAAATTTGACATTAAACATAATCCAAGTTGAAGTGTTGCATCATTTCCAGCTCCTTTTTGACATCTGCATTAGGTACCAGGTCAAATTGACAACGACCATGCAGAATAATGTAGTATTTTAATTCCACAGCAGGGAAAGTCTCTGTAAGTAGATCTAGGGGAAAAATAAAAATTGGTATTCGTATTATCAGTCAAATAAGTTTTAATATATCTACATATCAGATCTCGGCCAAAAATCCAATATCGTGCATCCCTATTATAAACTTCCACACAGCTGCATCCCTCCTCCACTGAGAAGTTACTTTGTTTGACACGTTCACTACACACGAAATCCAGAACAGCTTCAGATTTAAAAGGAAAACAAAGACGGATTAAAGTAAAAGGCCAAATCGAGAGAGAAGCTAACTCTGAAAGTTTGCACTGAAGGAATTCTCCGGTTAAACTGGAATATATGAGAGGAAACGTAGCGGGGCAGCGTTGCAGAACCCGTTCGACTGGGAGGTGAAAAACTACAAAGCAAAAGCCATTACCTGCACTGTAACGCGTCGCTCCTCCTATTACGGTTTCCTACCAAAGTATGCTCGAATAATCAAAATCTCCCAATCCTCTTGCAAACAGCAACAAGCTGACCAAGCTCTGTGTGTGACGAGGTTCTCTCCAGCGAAAAGCCACACTGACCTTTCAAAAGTAAAGCTGTGTAAAGTATTAGAATCTGATGCTGTAGAAAGATCCTAGTTGCCTTTGTGTATATCAACTGCCTGCTTGAGTATTTGTGTGTGGAAGTTTTCTCTGTAACCTTGTAGAACTGTTCGGGGTGTTTTTTCCTGCCATATCGCTCGCAGCCACAGCGGGCCGCTGACGGTTATATTTGCTGTGTATACCTTCATTTTTGATCAGGTGTTTTACAGTTTTGTTTCACTTCGTGTAGTGATTCACTCTGTGGAGTTTTCTGACTGTTGTTATATAACTTCATATACAAGAATTATCAATAAAAATGTTTTATTTCCTGTTGATATATCTCTTGTGGTGTTTTTATTTGGTTAGGAGGCAGAAGATGAGTTCACGGCGGTGACTCACGGCTCAAATCGCCTGGGGAGAGAACTGTCTGCATGTCTTACTGCATGTCTAATTCCACTTTTATGTTTTTTTCTTAATCATTTTAGAGGCTTCAGTTCAGCCTGTTAAAAGGTAAACACTACCACCTACAGGACAAGAACAGAAACAAACAAAACTGTTCTTTTGTGCTTCTCTCAGCTCAAGTCATACAAATTTAATTTGTGTCATTTAAATGAAATCAAATAAAATGTAAGAGTTTATATACAATAACTGCAGTCAACTTTTTTTTAACTCGTAAAGAAGAACAACAAATTCAAAGCTACCTTGTTTTTCTTTTCAGGTGCATTTGACAGCTTTAAAAAGGAAAAACCTGATAAGAATGAACAGCTACAAGAGGAGGTGACAGATATGTATCAGACATGATGCATAACAAATGCATGAAGTGACAAAAATGGGTAAAAGTGCACCTTTTATTTGAAATTGCATAACTTGAAATCATTCAAATAATGTCTGCAGCGTCCTCTTGAATGAAAATAATCCACCATTCAATTTCGAGTCACTTCTATAGCATCAATGAATAAAAAAAATGTACATGTATACTGTATAAGGTTATGTTCATTCAACCTTTATTTATACAGGTTAGTCTCACTGAGTCTCAAGGACTCTTTTACAAGAGAGACCTGAATTATATCAAATAATTATGAGACAAATATAGAATGCATCAAGGTCAAATAAGCTAAAACACAATCAGATGAGCGCAGATAGACAGAACGCTAAGCAATTCTTTAATATTTTATTTTTGTTTTTTAGTTTGTTCGCTTTTTTTATTTTGAAATGCCAAACCAGTTGTGCGGAAGTGACGCATGCACGTCAAGTTCGCAAACACGCGACAATGTAGCGGAAGTTTTGAAAACACGCCCCTTTTTTAACAATATTAAACTGCGTGTATGGCCGTTTTGTTGAAGCGTTTAAAAACTTTTCAGCTTAGATTTATATTACGTCATAAAGCGACAAGTAAATATATAGTTTGATTTTTTTTAACGTTTGAATTTATGTAATTTAAAGCATTGTTTTTCACTTAACGCTTTTATTTATTTTAACCTGCACCGGAAGTGGTTTCCGTGTTAGCCAACTTGCTAGTTTTCCTTCAAAAATTCGAGCACCGTCACAGCTCCTGTCGTCCTCCTGCTTTCTGCCCTGGCAAACAACTCTACAGCTCTCAAAACAGATTGAAAATGTTGTCCTACATTATTGGCGTGAGTATGAATTAATGCATCGTTCTCAGATTTTTTTAAGTCAAGCTATTTTCTAGCTTACTTTAAGCTAACATGAGCTAAAGTGTAGTTTTCCAAACAGTCGGGCCTCTCCGCAGGAAGGCGTGACTCATTTCTCCCTGTTAGGGATTAAACAATGTGACTTTAGGCTCGACAACGCCCTGCAGAGATCTTTAACAGTGTGGAGCTAATATTAGCTGGAGCTCTGAGTCATTCTCCTGGTTTAACCTTCGTCCCACAGCTGGTTCGAGGCGGTTTTGACGCAATCCTCAACCTCATCTTTAGACTTCTCTTCAAGAAAAGACTCGCGATCACCTTGGAGGACCCAAACATCAAGTATGCTCTGCGGCTCATTGACAAACAGGTGCCCGGGCTGAACACGTTCAGTACATTTCTATCTGCAGCAGATGCGTTCACGTACCATTCTGTAACTTTGTGCATTTTGTGAGAAACTTTTCTGTTTGTTTAGATCGTCAGTCATGATACAAGGAAATTCCGCTTTGCCCTGCCGTCTCCTAAACACATCCTTGGCCTCCCTATTGGTCAGTATGAGTCACTGTCGGTATAGTCTGTATAAAAACTTCTTGTAGTCTAAATTAAAAATAAGTACCATGTTCAAATTCAAGTTTTTGTCAAACATCTTTCATGCAGAAAATCATTTGATCCTCCCACTTGTGAAGCAACATTTGTTTGCTTTAATAAACTTAATGTGTCAAAGCTGTATGACTGTGTTATGAGACCTGTTATTCCTTTCCAGGGCAGCATATCTATTTGTCTGCCAAGATAAACGGGCAGCTGGTTGTCCGCCCGTACACACCGGTGTCCAGCGACGATGACAAAGGCTTCGTGGACTTGGTGGTGAAGGTGAGAGGGAAGCATCAAGTTTCTGTACTTGTGTTTTTATCGCCTATTGATAATGTTTTTTGGACGGCGTGTGTGTGTTACTACAGTAGCTCATGATGAATGAACCCTGCAGAAAGTAACCATTAGATGCACCTCGGTTCAAGATGGCCACCACAACCAATCATAAAAAATGCAAAATTGGCCTGAATTTAGTCAGTTTTACAGATATTGTGTTAAATTTTGGGGTTTAATTTGTGCTCACAGGTTTATTTTAAAGACGTTCATCCTAAATTCCCAGAAGGAGGGAAGATGAGTCAGTATTTGGAGAGCCTCAAGATCAACGACACCATTGACTTCAGGGGACCCAGTGGCCTCCTCGTTTACAAAGGAAAAGGTGAGGCGTGGCTGAGACCACGTGACGTCACAAACTGGCCTCGTAATTTTCACCTGCTGGTTTCATTTGATGGCTGAATCCAGCAGAGGAGTTTATGGTTGATGGTCGTTCATCAAACTTTTCCTCTGCAGGCGTTTTTGAGATTCAGCCTGAAAAAAAGTCTCCGGCTGTGACGAAAACGGCTAAAACTGTGGGCATGATCGCTGGAGGAACAGGTGAGAAGAACGAACAAAACCAGAAGCATTTTTTTACTCGCAGTCTAAAAATTAATTAAATATCTGACTTTGTTTTCTGAGGAGTAACATGAAATTGTAATATAAAAAATATATATTATGGATTTTTCATACTTCCGTTTGTATAACAGCTTATATTATTATTTAATAGATGTATTAATCCTATTGGTTTAAAACTGTATAAAATAAAATGTTTGTTGTTTCTGTATAAACTGCATCCTTTATAAAAACTGATGCCACAAATGATAGTCTGATGCTACACCACACAATATTTTACTAACTCATGAGATCCTAAATGAAACCTCTTGACTTCTTATATACATTCTGTCACACGAGGGGTTTTATGCTGCTTTTGACTATAATCTCAATATTTGATCAAACTACACCCATAAAGTCCTTGCAGAGCGTGTCAGCTGCCACGCCCACACAGTCTGAAGAATATCAGCTGACCTTTTTGTTGTGAAGCTGTGTAATTTACCACAAATACTTAATTTATGAAGGATTTTGACCAGAAGCTCACATGAATATCAACACGACTTGACCTTGTTGTTTCAGGGATCACCCCCATGCTGCAGCTCATCACCGCAGTGATGAAGGATCCTCAGGACCAAACCGTGTGTCACCTGCTGTTTGCCAACCAGGTGAGCTCCATAAAACAAACACATTTCTACTAAACACTCTGTCCATGTCGTTTGAGGTTTACAGCAAAAAAAAAAAAAAAAAAAACCCAGCTCAGCCTATGTGTATAATGTAAACTGGTGCAGTTCTAATCTACTTTATTTCTGTATGGTAGGATTCAAACCCAGTTACAAACAGGTGTTCAGGTGGGAAAAAGTGTGTTTCTTTTTGCAGACTGAAAAGGACATCCTGCTGCGAGAGGAGCTGGAAGAGATTCAGGTCAACCATCCGGACCGATTCAAGCTGTGGTTCACCGTAGACAAAGCTCCTGAAAGTAAGTTCTGTGCAGCGCTGCTCCCTACACCTAAAGTCTGTCAATGTAAAGGAAAAACTGCAGACTGCTTCTTATTATTATTATGCTTTATTTATTTTTATCAAGTGGAAGGGAGGAAACCGCTCCACATCTCATAATCTGGACGTCTTGATTGAGTCTTAACTTTTATCTTGTGAAGCACAGAAGGAGCAAAGTTTTGTTTGTGTAGCTCGGACAGACACTGTAATGAGCAGTCTGAATACTCAGTGTAATCTTTGAGTTTCTGTTTTCAGAGTCAAAGATCACAAGTTGAGAAAAGGAAAGAAAAAGATCTTTATTGGTTTTCAGAGGGAATGAAGCAGAGAAATTAAAACGTCTCTAATATTCAGGAGTAAGACAGGAACTAGATTAATGATCAAGAGTCAACACCTGAGTAACGTTGTTCAAAATGTTTATTTTTATTCTGCTTGTTTACGTGGAGGAGGTGGGACTTAAAACCTGTACTGGACCCAGATGACGGACGCTGGTCCAGTTTAGGCATCCAGTAAAACCTGATGCTTTTCTAGAGTGAGAAGCCTAAAACTCTGAAACTAAACTGCACTTCTTCTACTTGCAGCATTTTTTAACGTAAATGTAGTACACCAGGAAAAAAAGTATTTAACAAACACAGCAAGTAATATTACTGTTTAGTAAATGCTAAATTTATAAATCTGTTGCATTTTGTAATTCTTAAAAACATCCACTTTCATCTAACAGTTGAGCAGGATGTTAATGGACGTTTTAATCAAATATTCAGTGGCATTGAGGAATGAAGTGTGCTGGTGGCCATTTTTAAGAACAAGGGCGATGTACAGAGGAAGACCCAGGACACGCTGGAGGGACTATGTTTCTCGGCTGGCCTGGGAACGCCTCGGGATTCCCCTGGAGGAGCTGGACCAAGTGGCTGTGGAGAGGCAAGTCTGGGCCTCCCTACTTAGGCTGCTACCCCCGCGACCCGACCCCGGATAAGCGGAAGAAAATGGATGGATGGGTGATGTACAGAGTTGTAGCAACTAGAGGGGAATTAAAATTGATGAGCCACACGATGAAGATCTGGGAGAATTGTGGAAGCAAGACTTAGACAAGAGGTGACTGAGCAACAGTGTGGTGGTTTCATGCCAAGAAAGAGCACCACAGATGCCATCTTTGCTTTGAGGATGCTGATGGAGAAGTACAGAGAGGGTCAAACAACTCCATTGTGTCTTTAGAAAAAGTATATGACAGAGTGCCGAGTATTGCATAAGGAAATCTGGAGTGACGGGTAGCTTCAAAGTGGAGGTGGGAGTGCATCAAGGATCAGCTCTGAGCCCCTTCTTGTTTGCTCTGGTGATGGGTCAGACGACATGATTTGTGTTGAGAACAGGTGGAGGTATGCACTTGCAAGAAGAAGAGAATGAAAGTCAGCTGTAGTAAGACACAGTATGTGTGTGTGTATGAGAGGGAGGAGGTGGAACAGTGAGGTCACAAAGGTGCAGGACTTCCAAGTACTTGGGGTCCACTGTCCAGGAAAATGGTGTGGTAAATAGGTGAAGAACAGTCCAGACAGGATGGAGTGGATGGAGCAAAGTTTCAGGAGTGATTTGTGACAAAAGGGTGACGGCAAAGATCAAAGGAAAAGTTTACAAGACAGTGGTGAGACCAGTATGATGTATGGTCTGGAGACAAAAAGACAGGAGACAGAACTGGCAGAAATTAAGATGTTGAGGTTCTCCTTAGGAGTGACAAGGATGGATAAGATTAAGAATGAGATCATCAGAGGTACAGCACAGGTTGAACAACTGGGAGATAAAGTTAAAGAGACCAGACTGAGGTGGTTATATTGGTAGAAGGATGTTAGAAATGCAGCTGCCAGGAAAAATGTGGATGCAGTTAAAGGATGACTTACTCACTGGAAAAGCTGAAAGTGAAGCAGCGATTTCTGAAGTACGCAAACATAACTTGACAAATGTTAAACACATTCAATCATACTGGGACATCACTTATATTGCTTTGTGTGTTACCTGTTGTTCTGTCTGTACAACACTTTGGCCTTGTCGCTGTTTTTAAGTGCTTTATTAATAAAGTGGTATGGTAAAACTAAAGTTGTCAAACTCCAGATTTTTGCAGTTCTGCCCCCTGACCAGCAGGTGTCACTGTTGAACAGACTAAACATGAACTCTTCTTTATGTTAAATCTGTTTCAGACTGGGAGTACAGTCAGGGCTTCATCAGTGAGGACATGGTGAGGGAACACCTGCCTCCTCCCAGTGACGATGTCCTCATCCTGATGTGTGGACCTCCACCAATGATCCAGTTTGCCTGCAATCCCAACCTGGACAAAGTCGGCCACTCCGCCGGCCACAGATTTGTTTTCTAGACACTGAGGTGGAGAAGAGGTTTAAGGGGCTCCAGTTACGTCACAGCCCTGAAGCACTAAAGCAGCAGGTATTGCACAGTGTATGCCATGATGTAAATCGTACGACACAATCTCAGCAAGGACCAATTTACAGGGGAGGGTGATGGAAAGTCGGGATGTGGAGTCAAATGGGATTTTTCTGAAGATAGATCAGGTCTTTAATGTGGAAATGTTGTGACTTCAGGTTGTTTTAGAGGAGCGGAGGTTTGACTGTTGCGAGTGCCTTAGCACCGATGAAGCTTTATTAATGTTCTTCGTTAGCGTCGCTTGCTTCCACTGTGGCTGTCAGAAAATGTTATAACTGCTTGTGTTCAGTATGCAACATAAAATAAAGTGTTACGGAGTTATTAGTGGTTTTACTTGCTCCAACACCTGGTGGGACAGAGGAAAAGTTACACAACTGATGCATTTATTACTTTTATTAACAAAAACACAATAAGGACACATCGTTGCATAAAGACTCCCAAACATGTATTTAAATATGTGGATCTGAACCACGGAAACTTGTCAGCATGCATTTAACAGTTTATAAAACAAGTTGTTACAGTGCAATGTAAGTTTATACAATACTGAACTGGACAAATTATTTCTCCCATTTGCAGCTTTGCAATAAACAGAGAGGAAAACAAGACTGATGCATTTATCCATGTCCATCCATGACACAGATGGCGTCATGTTTAGTAACAGTAAAGAAAGCTCAATCAGGGTGGAAGTGTCATGGCGTGGAGCCGACGCCCATTCATGAGTGACTTCACCTACAACTGCTCGTATTTTAAACAAGTTGTGAATGTCAGCTCAACTCCATGAGTTATTCTCTAATCTGAAGCAGAGATACAGATTACCCTTCAAAACTAAAACCTCTCCATTCCAGAAAAACAAAAAGATTGATCCAAGCTTAAACCCACACGTGTGAATTCATCATGGTACGAGAAACTTTATGTCTGGACTAAAAACAGTTTCAGTTCATGCATTATACTTTGGTCAACTTCAATAAATAAAATGAGAGGCTACAGCTGATTGGATGAGAGAGGGAAGTACTTGGTCAGAGGGTGAAGCTCAGCTGGAGGCGTGTGCTTCTGTCGAGTCATCCTCTATGGGGCAAACTGAGATCTGGAGAAACAAGTCGTCGTCCTTCAGCATGCTCTGAAACACAAGAAGCAACGTTCAGCTCCTCATCCTTGACAAAGAACCGACTCGGACTGGTCATCTTCTCACAGTCAGATTGTTGATTCCCTCAGAGAAGGCTCCGATCTGCCTGACCGTTCCTTCAGAGTCTTCCATCTAAAACAGAGAGACAGCTGAGACACGATTCATCGAGTCAAGATGGCGCTGGAACATCTCTACCTGCTCCAGGTGATCAAAACCATCTCCGTAGATCTGGACGTTCCTCTGGAAGCTGCTGCTCTTTGGCATTTCTACGTTCATGGGGCAGACGTAGTCCTCGCTTTCATCATGGCGTTTCCTCCTCAAAGAGCCAAGACCTCCAAACGACGATCGTCTTGGCTGTGCGAGAACATCAAAGACAACTTACATTTTGATCTAATTTAAATCTCAGTGCTGTAACAGGATTACTGTAATTCCCAGACTAGCAGCTGCTACTTTTTTCAAAGGCTTTGAACACTGCGGCTGATTTATGGATTTTTTTACGGGCTAATGAGCTTCATGCCATCAAAAACATTTATCCTGGAGTCCTCATGACACTACCTGTGTAAATAAAGGTTTTTAAAAAATCTGAACAATGAAATGACCAAACAGGATTTTGTTTAAGTTAGCGATCAGTGACTTCCTGGTAGACGTTTTTTTTTTTTTTTTTCTTTTTTTAAATCTAATTACCGGCACTGTTGAGAAAAAACATTTACAGTACATATTTGTGTATGTTAAGTTTAAAAAAATCTTAGTGAAAATATCTCGTTACAACAGATGCCTGCAGCTTAGACAAGTGCGGCCTATGCAAGTACAAAATTATTTATTTTTAATTTAGTGGACGTGCCCGGCAGTCCGGAAATGACGGTGATTAGGAGGCGGTTACCTTAACCCTGGCGGTGGCTGTGAGGACGGTGTAATCCGGGTTTTCCAGACACTCCTGCTTCTGCCCCTGCGCCTCAGGGCCGACGAGCAGGTGAAATTTTGTGGCCAGGTGACGTCTCAGCAGCGTTTTGCTGGGGGGAATGTTGAGCAGAAGGGCGAGCGCTTCCACGTTGAAACGAGGCTCCAACACCTTCACAAGTTAAAGGTGAGAAGGTCAGACGTGCACACAGTTTGGTGTATTGCATCACATTCCTGCCTCCTCACCATCAGGCCTCCGTGAACTCCGCTCCCTCTCAGGTTGGGAGCGTACTCTGCCAGATCCACGGAGCGCAGCCACTCCATCACTCTGTGGTTGGTCCACTGGGAGATCTCGGCCGGCGTCATGTTGTTCTGCACGATTAAAGAGAAGTCAGCGACGCTTAATGTTTTAAATTAAAGCAGGAGCATAGGTGGAGTGATACCTCATCAGAGGGCCGTCTCCTGAGACAGCTGGGTTCGTACGAGTTGAGGCGCAGGACCTGGACGGCTCTTTTGATGCTGAGGTGATGAAGAACACTGCCAACCTTCAGAGACAGCAGGTCCTCCTGGGAAACGGGATCAAATAAGGTATTCAAATATTTGATCTTTACGCCTCAGAGCAGCGTGGTCAGGTTTAATGACTTTCTTCAGCTCACCACCGTCATGTAGTGCATCATGCGTCCATCAACCCGAGCTTCGTCGAAGTTACTTTTGTACTGCGGGAGGCCGATGTCGTCCAGCCACCCTGCAAAACAACATCCGATTATACAGAGAGCCGACGGAGACCAAGCCTGCTGTGAGGTGCCGTCACTCACTGGTCACCCAGTTGTGGTCCAGTTTGCCCTGAAGGTCACCGTCCTCTGACCCGAGAGCCTGCAGGGCGAGCTGCAGCTTCTTCTTGTGGAGCGGCTGCTTCATGCCCAACTCCTGTGAACAACAACAAGGACGGCCTTAAGAACTTAGAATAAAAATATAATTTGTGTTCAAAGATTTGAATAGTTTAAGCTTTGATGCTCTAAATCTTATTTCTCCATTTATTAAACTGGATTGTTCATTTCCTCAAACTAACACTGCACAGTGTTAAAACTAAGGGTGCACTGATCAATTGGACGATACTTGCATGAGAAACCAATTTTACCAATTTTTGTTTTAACAAGAATTGTCTAAACCTCATTTATATTTTAGAGCGCTACCTCATGGCCAGTTAAAACAAGTTTGTATTTCTAGGATATTGTTCAAGGGTGTGTTTGGCAACAAAATAATATTGGAAAATTGAAGGTGCATTGTGACCTTATAACACCTGACAGTGTCGCTTATAAAACAAGTCAGGCTTCTTAGAAAACTGTGCACCCCTAGTAAAACTAAATGAAGTTATATACATTTAAAACAGGCAGTTCAGTTGTAGTCGTGTGATTCTTACTTTCTCCAGATCATGTTGTGATGCCTGCAGTAATGTTTGTCCTGATTTGATCCAGTTCTGACCCAGAGCAGCAAACGAGCCGAGGCCCTGCTCGTGAAGCCAGGAGCAAACTTCATCGTTAGTCCACCGAGAAAAAGGAACATCCGCAGCCCTGAACGACCACAGACGGCTTTAACTTTACATTTGTCCCAAGAACACCACATTGAATGTACATGCTGGAGACACAAAACAAACTCCAATATCAAAGTACACAAAGACAAAATAAGTTAATCATGTTCAAATCATAATCTAAATATTTAGTCCTAAAACTGAGGCCTCGTGGGTCATTTTGACCCAAAGGCAGCAGGACGGTTCAGAGTCCACATCTAAAGTGATGCAAATGAAAAAGTTTTATTATTTTAATGTAGATTTTAATAATTCTATAAACAATGGTCAAAGAGAAAATAACGTGGCAGGATCTAATCTTTAGTTTCCATGTTGAAAACAAAGAGTTGGCCGATTTTAAAAACTAGTCGATGTTTAGAACAGAGGTCATATTTTTTAAGTTCCTACAAAAAGACGTTTTAGTTTCTTCTTAAAATATATAAATTAGTAGTTTAAAAGCAGCAGTTTTTACATTTTATGTATGTTTGGCTTGTTAATCTTCAGAACTTGGATGTTTTGTGTGCGCTGAATGTAAAGCACTTACTTCTGTTTTGAGTCACGTGACCAGCCGAGCCGAGGGCCGGCGGTGGCTCTGACTCCGCCCCTCCTGAACTCCGTCTCGGCCTCGTCGAGGTCCAAGGAGGTGGAGTGACTCCTCTTCAACCTGACAGAGAAGCGCGGCACAAATGACGAATATAATTGAACAATATCTCCGCCTGTCGACACGCAGAGGCATTACCTGCCGAAAAATTTCTTCAACCCTCTCGCCGCCTTCTTGGTATCTGAAGATGATGGAAGTGGAGTTGCATCATGGGATTTCTTGGAAGGAACGCCAGCCAAGTCGAGATGCTCTGTGCCTTTACGTTCTGTCTCAGCTGGAAAATGTATCAACTTTAATAAAGAACTAGCCACCTAAAATAACTACAGCTGAGCTATTCTAAACAACAAAATACATTTGAATATAATTTGGTCAACACATCTGGTTCCACTCATGGAAGACACCAGATGTGGCTACGATAAATATTTTTACTCATGACCAAAAAAAAAAAACTAAACAAGAAAACCTGAATATGAGGATCTAAATGTCAAAAAGAACTGGATAGTTCTAGCAACTCATACAAAGCAGCAAACTAAACCCTCTGAGCAGTGACTCCCGGCCTCCTCTTGCAAAATATTCAATTATAATTTTTGAGGTTTTTACATGTGATTTCAATTAATGATGAAGACGCAACAGTAAACACACTGAAGACGACACAAACACAATGAGTTTTTAATTATTCTGCTCTTTATCAAGTAGGTGCATCCACACAAAATAAATGATTTTTCTCATCTTTTTTTTTTTTGGATGGAGAACTTTATGAATTGGCTTTTCTATGCATGTGCATGTTCCTGTAAAGTGTCTTGAAACAACTGTTGTGATTTGTTTGGTGCTATATAAATAAACTGAACTGAATTTAAAGGGTGACATTTTTAATTTGGTCTCATGTGGGTTTATAGTCACCGAGGTTTGGGACGCTGGCCGTCTGCTTGCCTCCACGCAGCTTAAAAAAACCACGACCAAAAGAAGAGCGGGCCTTTTTGGTGCCAAAACCTCCTTCATTCGTGTTTCCTTTAGCAGGAGAAGAGGCTCCAGCTCTCGATTTAGTTTTAGCCTACAAGAAAAAACAAGGCAGGTGAGTCTGAACATGGACGAGCAAATCAGAAATTAAGTTACAACATTTAACCACTAGGTGTCAGAGCAGGACTACTGGCAGAACTCAGTGACTGTTTGAGAACTATACAGAGCTGAAGAGTAAAACTTGAAACTGCTTAACAATTTGGTTAAGAGACTTTAAACCAGTTAAATTATTATAAAGGTCAGCAGATTATCAGATGGGCCTGCTGGTGCATCTGAAACTGGGAGGTTTTACCTGGTCTGAGCCTCTGGTCACAGCTGAGCTGTTCTTTTGTGGATCATCTAAGGACCTGAAACAAGACCAGGACAAAAGAAACCACTTAATGTAACATTTGTACAGAAAAGTGCACCAAAACCTTTGTGACGCATCTGCAAGTTGAGATTTCTGCACTCCTGTAAGTCTCGCAGCGCACAGGTTACATTACAGTAGTTGAGTCCAGACTGGAAGGTAAGACCAGGGTTTATGATTCAGAAGGTCTGATCTGCTCTTTAGTTAGTTATCTGCCACACTAACATTTAATTCACACGGACACCATCTGTTCCAGGGCTAGTTGTAAACTTTACTGTGTGCAGTGTAAAAGAACAAAAAATGTTGTTTATTCTCTTATTTGCTTGAGTGCAACAACAAGTGAGAATCCATGAACTCTAAATTGGATAAATAATTCAACTTCTAATTTTGGCCATTACTCCGACAAGTTACAAATGAAGTTTGGAATTAGACCATCGTGTTCTGATACAGTTTGTAATAAACTCATCAAGTGACAAATTAGGGGCTGAGATGAGGCAGAGGCAGGGCAGCCAACCCAGGACCCGAAGGTCCCAGGCCCGATCCCCAGCCATTCCCACATGTCAATCTCCAATTGCTCCCCGGGCGCTTGCATAGCTGCCCACTGCTCCACCTGGGTGCATCCCAGATGTGATGGGAACATACGACGATGACACAAAGCACTGTACTCATTTTGATGAGGGGTAGTCGCCCCCTGCTGACCTTCAGATGAAATGCTAATCTACAGTAACACTAATGAACTGGGCATGGTTCTGCTAATCTAACAGCTGCATTAACTTTCATTTAGTGGATTAGCATTTTTGCTAACTTTGAAGACCTTTAAGGTAACAAAATGCCACAGGTGCAAAAATCAATAGGCAGCCTAATGGCGGCCGTGGGATTGTGCACAGTAGAACTTTAACAAGAGTTTAACAAAATTAACACTTTGTTAAAATTATAGTAAATGTGTGTCTCAGCCTAACTTTTGCTTAATAAAAAAAGAACTAACGGTCAAATCAGCTGCATTTCAAAAGTATGTGCTGCCTCTGCTCCGGGAATGAAGAGGGAGGAAAAAAAAAAGAGGAAGGCTGCTCATTTCTTTGAAATTTAACAAGAAAAGCACCTAAACAATTATTTGTTTGCTTGTATTTATAGCAAAGGTGTGTCTCATTTGAACTTTTGCGTAATAAATGCACTTTAATGGTCAAATCAGCTGCATTTCGCCGGGCGGTGCAGCTAGATTGAAGGTTTCAAGCAGCGAGCAGAAAGAAGGTGGGTGGAATATGGCAGGCCGATTGTGTCATTAATAGCTGATGAAGATTCTCAGTCATCCAGGACATGGTAAACTAAAAAAAGTTAAGGCAAAAACAATAAAGTATAATAAATAAAGTCCAGTTGTTTTTGTCTTGAACTTTTTTTGAATTTGTAATTATAGCCACGTTTACCTATTACATGATACAACAGCATGCCTTACCTCTACTACTACTCTGCTGCCATCTAGTGGCGTAAAGTGGCACTGCTCTTTTTTCCCCCAGTCAGAATGAATAAAAACAGTCGTATCTCAGCCAAGAATTGGTTTATAAATATGGAAAAAATCCATAAATGTCACTTTAGCCTATAAGTTGTAGGGCATGCAAATTATGAAAAAAAATTACTTATAGGCCAAAAAATACAGTAGTTAATCACAAAGAGGATTGCTACAATGAGTAATTTTAGTAAATGACACGAGGGAGATGTCCGACACACATTGAATGCATCACTGCTTTGGCACAGCAGCGTTCTGCTCCGCCTCTTCGGTTCAGATGGACCGGATTAATTTCTGAAAACTGACGTCTCAACGGGACATGGACGCTTTACCTGTGATTTATGAACCGTTTGTCGTGTTCACTCACAAAGTTGTCACATTACAGTCTTACAGTGTCAGCAACAGCAGTTGATGCTAAAATTTAATACTTGAACATTAGCTTCCACTATTTTTTTTATCTGTTTAGCGTTAGCAAAGCTAATTTTTTTGGTTAGCTTTGCCCACCACTGGAAATGTGCATCTTTTTAGATATTTCAGGCTCCAAACTGTTTTGATACATTTTATCTTTGTTATATCTTTTGGATCATACAAATCAATAGTCTTAGTGTTCCAGCATCATGATGCAAATGGTCACCAGCTTCTGTTGCGACTTGGCGCTGTATAAATAAACTGAACTGAATTAAAATGCAAACTTTTAACACCAGCAGAAACTATCAGAAATTAAAACTTTAATATATAAATAAAAAAAGAGATTTACCTAAAAATTGAAATTATGTCATAGCGGACTACTTTACCCCATGACACACAAATACAACACAATGCTTAAGTGATGAATATCTCGTCATTTTGAAACAAGCCCAAAAAAGAAAATTATGTAAAATAAATCACATTTTTGTTGTTGTTTTTTTTTACCTTTGAGCTGCTTGTAATCGTTGTTCTCTGTCCAGCTCCTTCATTTCAGAGAGCACTGCTATACACGGACTAGACTGAGTCAACAGGAAAAAACATAATTAATTGGACACAAAGCAGAAGGTCCAACGGTCTGACAAATAAGAACCCAAACAGAGCCTCTACATTCCAAGAACTTTTTTTTTGAGTGGGAGGCAGAGATTGGACTTTTATAAAGGAAGTCTAAGGTCTGGGGTTCATCCTGTGTCAGTTTGGACAGAGGTTATGTTTACCTCGTCGGAGCTCCTTCCTGCCTCCCCCTCCAGCTCCAGGGTGACCTGATCCACCTCCATGGACACAGAAACCGAAGGATCGTCGGTGATATCAGCATAGTCTTCCTCTTTCAGCTTCTCTGAAATAGGACAGTTCACACAGGCATGAACCAAGTGGACTTTTCTTCCTCCAGTGTTAAACCAAGCTTTTAGGCTCCCACAGACATTTTTATTTATGGATCAGACTTCTTTATACAACATAAGCTACATCAACAAGGGTTCTTTCTAAAAAATATACACATTTGGAGGCTAAAATGTACTCCGCTCTATGAATATTTACATTATTTTATATAAAATTCTTTAATTACTATGTAAATCATTTATTAAATCGTTGTGGGTTAAGTTTGCATTTTAATTAGTAATATTTGTGCTGAAAATGATCCTCACCTTTGACCAGCTCCTGCACTTTGCTGCACTTAGTAAGTGACACCTCGAGCTCTTTAATCCTTCTTTCCTGCAGATAAACACAGAAAGCTTGACGCCATGATGCATTCAGCAGGTCACAGCAGCTGCACACACGCAGCTCTGTACCTTCTCGTTGTTCTCCGATGTCAGTAGCTCCAACACGCTCTTCATCTTCACCACTTCCAGGTCTAAAAGAAGACAAAACGCTTATTTGTGTCAGTTTAGCTTCAACTCTAAATGGCTCTGCAGGAACCAGAAATATTGAAGCCCACTGTATGTTGGTCAGCAGGGATGTTGCTGCTAAAAGCTCCTGATAAATATTTGAACATATGAAAATATCTGTGTTTTACAAAGAATGGTACACAACACTTGGTCAACAGAGTCAGACCTCATGAGCTGATTACAGAAGCAGTGACAGAAGTTGGAGTCACTTGTGACCAAACGTGGAGTAAACTCCACACATCTCAGTCCTGCAGCTTATTTTCACAAACGTATCTCAGTGTTTCTATTACAACTTTACTATCATGGACTTCTCTCTGCTCTCGTGTTTAAATCTTTGCTACAATTTTAAGGTACCATCACCCACATGGATCCAAATGGTGGACGACATGCCGGATGAAATGAAACTAATGAAAGGGTCTTCAGGTTTCGCAGACAAACACTGAATCAAGCGTGCCGCTTTAAATAAATGGCATTCCTCCACCAGCAGCAGGGATGAGATAAGGTCAGGAGCGGGTGGAAGGAGTGACACAGTCTAATAAGTTTGGGATAGATTTTCCAGACAGAAAAATAAAGGAGTAAAGAGAAGTATTAGATCATAAAACATGAATAAAAAATCCAGATGAGGCTGCTGCTGCTGTGTTATTCAAAAGTAAAAGGTCTAATCCTCTTAAATCTCTTAAAATTACATCTGAGCTGCATGAAATGACAGGAGGAGCATCCAGACTTATTAGAAACACCTCCCACCTCTTTCTCCCCCCTCTGTTCTGTTGTGGGCCTCCACCTTCAGCCTCCTCAGCTCCTCCTCTCGCTCCTCCAGCTGCCTCTGCAGAACCTGCAGCTCCTCCTGTTGAGAGCAATGATGGAAAGGGCAAAAGTTTATTCAACTTTATCACAGTTACAGTAAAAAGAAAAGACTTATCTGAGGTGAGCCAGAGGTCATTATGTAGAATGATTGTTAAAAGTGAAACTTCAGCATCCAGAGTTTTGATAAAAGCTGCGAGATTCCAGTGAGGTCACAATATGATATGGTACCTTGTTGTGCTATTGCTTATTATGCATGCAAATAAAATTAAAAAACCTCAAGTTGACCCACAATTTATCTGCTGTTTAACAGGTTTGTTTCCAAATGCAGATTATTTTTCCTCTCTTACGTGTTCATAGACAACAGACAATTGCATAAAGCTCGTCTAGTTCATCACACCTCAAGTACAGCTTGAAACGCTGCCTTGCACCATTTTGGCCAATTAAACTTTGATATTTTAACTACTTCAAGAAATCGTTTTTACACGTGTGTGTG